TCCTGCGTTCTGCAGAAATACTATTAACGACTGAAGCGATACTTGCCTTTAACCATCCGGAAAAGTTCTCTACAGAGCTGTCTACAACACCTGTATGAAGATGTCAATTAAGTGAAAACGTGATCGCTTTCTCCACCTCCCTACTGGCTGAAAGTATCCCAAATAGGTATGGATAGGCAGCACTAAAATTGAGAACAAAGTGATAAGGAGAAATAGACGTGATACATTATCCCATGGAACCATGTTAAACTCCAGCCCCTGTTAGCTTACTGCCTTTAGACCAGTGTTTTTACAACTAACGATGGAAATATGTGATGAGCAGCACGGTCCCCTCTCTCCCAATGGAGTTCCCAAAGAGGATGAGATTCTAGATCCAGTAGAATTGTCAAGAGGTATTGGCAACGCTGTGGTCAAATATCATCCCTGTTAAATGCAAATTCGACCACTACCGCTGTTGGTTAGAGGGTGATTTTCTTGCAGCACTGACTACGTCGTAAATGCCGACACTGGAGGTTGACCAAGGCTCTCAAAAAATGGGAGAGGGCCGTGAATTACCTTAGTTGTTTATTCAAATCCGCCTCGTACTTAAGCTGGCCGCATGACCACTGCGCGATGACAGTGGCGCCTCAGCCCCAGTGTACTTCGTCAATACATATTCTGCCCTAGTATTTTGTCGTCTTTCATCTTCATGGAAGTCTCGGGGCGTTAAAAATCCTTCTTAAATTATCGAAGTGAAAGACAAAATAACAGTCCTTAAAATGGAATATAATTAAACTTGAAAATAAAATCAGTTTAAGCCATTTCTGCTGCACTTTTTATCAAAATTTATTTTTGTAAAAAGGATATCATCTAGAGCAGATGTACCGAAGGGGTGCATATTTGGCTAGATATTGTACCGAAGATAGGGTTATTCGATACCTTTTTCTACACAAACAAGAGGACACAAATTGGCTCACTTTAGATTGATATTTAATTTGGAAGATATAAGCTGAATGGGGAAAAGGGAAGGAGAGAGGAGTGTTTCAAGCCTTCCCAATTTCGGTTCATATTTGGGTGGTTGATTCGGACCTAATCCTTCACATCATCAACACATAGATGGATCTTAAATACATTCATTATTACAATCATTGGGTTCCGTTTCTGCCCATTATTTTTAACTGGCCTTATAATGTAGGTTCAACCCAAACGGAAGCGTCGGCACTTTTTAAATAATCAACATTTTTGGACTTATTCATCGTAAGGCAGTTGAGTATTCAAAATTAAACTATTTCTAATCACTGAAGATTGAAGGCGATGCGAGTCAGAACACTGATGTTGCAACCGATTTAGCGATGTCCATACCCATTATACGGAAAAGAGATAAATCTAATCTTTTGTACTTGGCTGAGATTAACAAAGTTCTAGGATTCTCCACTACAAATCACTGTGACTACTGATATTTTTATTCTTTTTTTCTTTGCTGAGGTCCGTTTTGACTACTATTCGTTAGTAAATTCGTCATGAAAATACAATTATTTGCCTCTTACCCACTACAATGTACTCTAACATTTTACCTGGAACAAGAAATAGCCATTAGCAAAGTGGATACTAAATGAGGCTGTATATAAACTGCAAAGCCCATTAACAGCACTTTTAGGCTTGCAAACCATACAAATTTGCCGGTCCGAAGTACTTTGGATCTCAATACTACAACCATAATTAGAGCCAGTGGCCGACTTCTTAGAAGAGCAATCATGCTGGAACATTGAAGTCGATGACTTCAATAAATAACTAGTTTTACAGTCCAAGTGCCTCGTATTTTAGCTGTTTATCTGGTTTACTGCAAAACCGCCCCTTCACCAATTTGTGTCCACTTCCTATTCTTTTGAGTTATGCTTTTTAAGGCAAGTTTTGCAATACCAAGTGATTTTGGGACGCTAGTTTCATTGTGGAACTAATCGTATGCAGTCAGCTCAAAAAACGAACAAAATAATCAGCTAACGAGGATATGTCTAATGCATTGAATCGATGGGTCGAATAAGACCTTCCGTCTTAGTGATTTCAATTAGGAAAATGAGTCACGTAGGATGCTTAAGCCGAGACCAAGGAAGATGGGGATGAGCTGAAAGTAATGTGTAAATTTAAAGCATGCATGCTTATTTGGCTAGAAAAGTAGAAGGTTTGCTTTGATATTTCATTAGGCTTAATGAACAGAGACTAATTCTGTCAGGCTAGCAAACCCTCAGCATGATACATGGATGAAAAAAGCTAATAAAGCCCGATTGGTGACTCATTGTAGACACCACCTATCATAACTTCAAGGGAATGGATTACCAAATTGGAGGGAATGTCAATCACAATCAATTAATGAAGATGAAGGGACAATAGGACCTGTGGACGGAGTGACACACCATTTCCTTTGTAGGATGATACTTGAATCCAATGAAACTCAAAACATGCAGACCACTTGGTGACAGGACGGACATCTGGTTACCAGGATGTTATGAGTAAAAAACGGTTTCGATACGAAGACAACAAAACAGTAGCGACCATTTGAACGTACTTTTTACCTATTCTGTTTTTTGCTGGCAATATACTAAGATGAAGGCAGTTCTAAATGACGCAGCTCTTATTTAATAACTTGATAACTAAATTTGACATTTATAAAACTGATTACACTGACTTATTAGCCCTTGTAAGGGCAAGGGGTGATAAAATCGCGAGGCCAATGGTCTCTATCCCAACTCCAACCACTATTTCGATGCCTAGGCGCCTGTACTCCTGATAGGTTTGTGCAGTTGAAGGGAGAGTTTGGCAAATTCACGAGCTTGACAGGGGTGACCTTTCTCATGACCCTAGGATTTTCGTCACCCAACGATAGTCCCATCTACAAGATCTCTAGCTTCGGGTCGAGAAGTGTTTAAATTTCTGTGTATATGCATGTGCAACCAACTGTCTTTAAATTCCTTAAACTTGTTTCAATGTGTCTGAAGGGTTATTTGTGCTGCATCTAGTCAGTCGTGTTATTACGAATTCGTGTAGAGGGTAAGAACGCACCTGACGCAAGTTCTCAAATCACCACAGCTGAAGATCCAAATATCTACCTTTCTAATGTTATTTTAAGCATTTTAAGCAGACATAATCATTGTGGGGATTAGATGGCTAAGAAAATGAGGCTGCAAGTAGGGAAGAAATGCCTGCTCTGATTCAAATATGTCATGCTTCAAATTTTCCACTAGTCAAAGTGTGGGAACTTCAAAGCAATTTCTTCAGTTTACATTCAGCACATTTTTACAGTTAGACAGCAAAAATGTGACTTAAAAATGTTCAGTTCAGAGTTCTTGTATTTCAAACATGTTGGAGCTGAAATTCGTTTCATAATATTGAGATGTTTAAAATACAAAATTCTAGTGTTTTAGAGTAAGAGTATAAAAAG